AAAATCTATTGTATTTCTATACACTAACAATGAACAATCCAAAAATAAAATTAAGAAACAGCCCTACTTAAGATAGCATCAAAAAGAATAAAACACTGGGCGCCTGGGTGGCTCAGTCGTTAAGCGTCTGCCTTCGGCTCAGGTCATGGTCCCAGGGTCCTGGGATCGAGCCCCGCATCGGGCTCCCTGCTCAGCAGAGAGCCTGCTTCTCCCTCTCCCACTCCCCCTGCTTGTGTTCCCTCTCTCGCTGTGTCTCTCTCTGTCAAATAAATAAATAAAATCTTTAAAAAAAAAAAAGACAAAAAGAATAAAACACTTAGCAATAAATTTAAGAAACACAAGACTTGCACGCTGAAAACTAAAACATTGTTGAAAGAAATTTTAAAAGACCTAATAAATGAAAAGACATCCTATGTTCATGGATTGGAAGACTCAGTATTGTGTGTGTATGTGTGTTTTATTGAAGTATAGTTGACGCACAATGTTACATTAGTTTTAGGTGTACCACATGGTCTGTACATTACCCTGTGCTCACCACAAGCATAGCTCCCATCTGCCACCATGCAACGCTATTAGGGTACCACTGACCGTATTCCTTATGCTGTACCTTTCGTCCCCTTGACTTATTCATTCCATAACTGGGAGTCTGTATCTCCCACTCCCATTCACCTGTTTTGCCCATCCCCCCACCTCTTCTCCTCTCTGGCAAATACCAGTTTGTTTTCTGTATTTATGGATCTATTTCTGATTTTTCTTTTCATTTGTTTTGTTTTTTTAGATTCCACATATAAGTGAAGTCATATAGTAGTTGTCTTTTTCTGTCTGACTTATTTTACTTAGCATACCACTGTCTATGTCCATCCATATTGTCATAAATGGCCAGATCTCATTCATTTTTATGGCCAAGTAATACTCCATTGTGTATGTATATATATATACACATACATCTTCTTTATCTATTTTTTTAAAGATTTTATTTATTTGAGAGAGAGAGCAAGCACTGGAAGAGGGTAGAAAGAGAAGCACATTCCCCACTGAGCAGGGAGCCCGATGTGGGACTTGATCCAGGACCCAGGGATCATGACCTGAGCCAAAGGCCGACACTTAACGACTGAGCCACCCAGGCGCCCCGTTCTTTATCTATTGATGGACACTTGGGTTGCTTCCATAATTGGCTATTGTAAATAATGTTGCAATAAACATAGGGGTGCGTGTATCTTTTCAAATTAGTGTTTTTGTTTTCTTTGTGCAAATACCCAGTAGTGGGATTACTAGAGCATATGGTATTTCTATTTTTAATTTTTTGAGAAACCTTCATACTGTTTTCCACAGTGGCTGCTCTGATCTATATTCCCACCAACAGTGCATGAGGATTCCTTTTTTCCACCTCCTTGCCAAAACTTCTTTCTTGTCTTTTTGGATACAGCCATTCTGACATGTGTAAGGTGATAGGTCACTGTGGTTCTGATTTGCATTTCTCTGATGATTAGTGATGTTGAGCATCTGACATAATATTGTTAAGACAGCAATACTACTCGGGGCACCTGGGTGGCTCAGTCGTTAAGCATCTGCCTTCGGCTCGGGTCATGATCCCAGGATCCTGGGATCGAGCCCCACACTGGGCTCCCTGCTCGGCGGGAAGCCTGCTTCTCCCTCTGCCTCTCCCCCTGCTTGTGTTCCCTCTCTCGCTGTGTCTTGCTCTGTCAAATAAATAAATAAAATCTTAAAAAAAAAAAAAAGACGGCAATACTACTCAAATTGACCTACACATTCAACACAATCCGTATCAAATCCCAGCTGACATTTTTGCAGACATTGACAAGCAGGTCCTAAAATTCACATGGAAATGCAAGGGACCCAGAAGGGCCAAACGATCGTGAAAAAGGACAGAGTTGGAAGATCCACACTTCCTGACTTCAGAAATCACTAAAAAAAAAAACCCTAGTGAGTTCACAGCTGACATGATTTGTGGCATATTCAATTCACCAGTACCTGTGACTCATTATATATATATTTAAAGATTTTATTTATTTGAGAGAGAGAGTGCGAGCAGGGGGGAGGGTTAGAGGGAGAAGCAGATTCCCCACTGAGCAGGGAGCCTGATGTGGGATTAGATCCAGGACCCTGGGATCATGACTCGGGCCGAAGGCAGACGCTTAACAGACTGAGCCACCCAGGCGCCCCTCAAAATATATTTTTGGGCAGTTACTATGCTGGGCACCCTGGGGGAAGGTTGGGGGGAAGGGGCCTTGGGTTTGGAACCCCTAGGCTCATCCACCAGTCTTGTGAGCCGGTAGAAATCCGTGGACAACTTCTGCACCGCTGATCCGGCCTGCTGTGGGAACGCAGAGGAGGGGTTCCTAACCAAGACCCGAGGTCCCGGAAGGCTTCCTGGAGGAGGAGCCAAACTCAGCTCCAGAGGGGTGGCGGGGTGAAGAGCGCATTTCCCCATAGAAGTCCGAGCTGTGGGTGGTGGGGAGGGGAGGGGAGGGGGCTTGGCGCCCGCCCGCCTCTGGAAGGAGAAGTGGGAGTGGCTGGAGCGGGGCGCCGGGGGGGGGGGGGGGGGGGGGCGCGTTAAAAGGTCTGGACGTCATCCCGGCCACCGGGCAGTCACGCAAGGTTTTGTGAGCGAATCGTGTCCTTAGGCGGCCCGCGCCGCGAGCGGAGCGCGGGACGGCGGGTCCGAGCCGCGGGGCGCAGGGGCGCGGGCGTCGGGGGCCTGGGCCGCTCGCCGGGTCGCCGCGGAGATGGCGGTGACGTCACACAGGCCCGGCCCGCAGACCCCCTTCGGGGCCCGGCGAGGTCACGCTGGGAACAAAATGGACATGCCATTCCGCAGGTGAGTCTGCGGTGGCGGCGCGGGGCCCGGCCCGCCCGCCGGACCCCGTTCCCGGTGGCCCCGACCTGAGTGAAGCCGCCCCACCCGGAGCCGCGCCCGGGAGCCAGTTCCTTGCTACGTCGGGGCTGCTCTTCCGGCCCAGCCCCGGGCAGGTGGGCACAGGTGCGTGGGCCAGGTGCGCCCGCCCCCGAGCGGCTCACCACCTGCGGCGCCTGTCCCCGCAGCTGCCCGCCCGGCGGGGCCCGCGACGCCGCGAGGCCCGGGGTAGGACGCGGGTGGGCTTCCGCCGGCAAGAAGGGGCCGAGGCAACTGGGTCTAGGTCCCCCGTGGGGTCCTTGCGGCGTGGAAGTGAGGCCGGCCTCCCCGGGGGGGGGGGGGCCCGCCGCCTAGGTTTGGAGTCCTTGGCTTGGAGACCCCCCTTTTCTTTCCCCTTATGAAGGAACATCCCATCTGCCAGGAGTCAGACCTGCAGGGGGGGGGGGGGCCCGCCGCCTAGGTTTGGAGTCCTTGGCTTGGAGACCCCCCTTTTCTTTCCCCTTATGAAGGAACATCCCATCTTCCAGGAGTCAGACCTGCGGGGGGGGGGGGGGCCCGCCGCCTAGGTTTGGAGTCCTTGGCTTGGAGACCCCCCTTTTCTTTCCCCTTATGAAGGAACATCCCATCTTCCAGGAGTCAGACCTGCAGGGGGGGGGCCGCCGCCTAGGTTTGGAGTCCTTGGCTTGGAGACCCCCCTTTTCTTTCCCCTTATGAAGGAACATCCCATCTGCCAGGAGTCAGACCTGCAGGGGGGGGCGCCGCCTAGGTTTGGAGTCCTTGGCTTGGAGACCCCCCTTTTCTTTCCCCTTATGAAGGAACATCCCATCTGCCAGGAGTCAGACCTGCAGGGGGGGGGGCCCGCCGCCTAGGTTTGGAGTCCTTGGCTTGGAGACCCCCCTTTTCTTTCCCCTTATGAAGGAACATCCCATCTTCCAGGAGTCAGACCTGCAGGGGGGGGGCCGCCGCCTAGGTTTGGAGTCCTTGGCTTGGAGACCCCCCTTTTCTTTCCCCTTATGAAGGAACATCCCATCTGCCAGGAGTCAGACCTGCAGGGGGGGGGGCCCGCCGCCTAGGTTTGGAGTCCTTGGCTTGGAGACCCCCCTTTTCTTTCCCCTTATGAAGGAACATCCCATCTTCCAGGAGTCAGACCTGCAGGGGGGGGGCCGCCGCCTAGGTTTGGAGTCCTTGGCTTGGAGACCCCCCTTTTCTTTCCCCTTATGAAGGAACATCCCATCTTCCAGGAGTCAGACCTGCGGGGGGGGGGGGGGGGCCCGCTGCCTAGGTTTGGAGTCCTTGGCTTGGAGACCCCCCTTTTCTTTCCCCTTATGAAGGAACATCCCATCTGCCAGGAGTCAGACCTGCAGGGGGGGGGGCCCGCCGCCTAGGTTTGGAGTCCTTGGCTTGGAGACCCCCCTTTTCTTTCCCCTTATGAAGGAACATCCCATCTTCCAGGAGTCAGACCTGCGGGGGGGGGGCCGCCGCCTAGGTTTGGAGTCCTTGGCTTGGAGACCCCCCTTTTCTTTCCCCTTATGAAGGAACATCCCATCTTCCAGGAGTCAGACCTGCGGGGGGGGGGCCCGCCGCCTAGGTTTGGAGTCCTTGGCTTGGAGACCCCCCTTTTCTTTCCCCTTATGAAGGAACATCCCATCTGCCAGGAGTCAGACCTGCAGGGTGACGAGACCCTGGTGTGAGGGCAGGGCTGAGATGGGGATTCCTCTGTTTGCCCCGGCATGAAGTGTGAAGACTTAAGAAGGGGTGTCCCCAGCCTTCCAGTGAAGTGGGATGGTGGGGAGGTGGCGCTGGGCCAGCTCGGCCCAGGCTCAGGGTCAGGGTGGGAGGGCGGTCCTGGACCTGCTGTGCCCTCAGACAGGAAGCCGGTTGTGCTTGAGAAGTGTGGACACGTTCCCCCCTCCCCCTTCAAACCCAGGGGAGAATTCTAGGACACCTGGGAATGACCCTGGGGTTTGCGTCTGCAAAGCTACACAGTATTTCTCCAAAACGTTATTTTAACCTGTCGTTTCCTCTAGAGCAAACTGATTTAAAATAAGAAAATCCCAGTGGTCCTGTGCTCTGGCTTTTCTGTGGATTCCTTCTGTCTGAATGGCTGTTCTTATTTTGGTTGTAGAACTTCCTGGTCTGATGGATTCTGATACAAGCCCAGTTGATTTGGAAAGGTTGACTCACAAATACAAGGTAAAATGAGAATTGGCTTCATCTGCTTCATCTGCATTGTTTTCCTTTTAAAGCTTGGTCAATTGTCTTGAATGAGAGTTGTTTTTTTGTTTTTTTGTTTTAAGTCCTCTCTTTGCCCAACGTGGGGTTCAAACTCAGGACCCCGACATCAAGAGTCACATTCTTTACTGACTGAGCCAGCCAGGTGTCCCTGGAGTTATAAGTTATGAGCTTTTTTTCAGGCGGCGTAAGGAACAAGAGACTGCAAAATGAAAAAATCCACTGTCTTCCTTTTCATTATATCTCAGAATAATTGCACCAAAAATGTGGTCAAAATAATATCAACTATGGTATGAAGGTGTCCATCTTAAAAATTAATACTTGTGGGGGCACCTGGGTGGCTCAGTCGTTTAAGTGTCTGACTCTTGATTTCGGCTCAGGTCATGATGTCGGGGTCCTGGGATGAACCAGTTCCCCCGTTGGGCTTCACACTCAGCGGGGAGCCTGCTCGAGATTCTGTTCCCCTCCCTCCCTCCCTCCCTCCCTCTCTTCCTCTGCTCCCCCTGCTCACGCACTCTCTCTCTCTCTCTAAAATAAATAAAATCTATTTTAAAAAAGTTAACACTGGGGGAGAAAAAGAAAAACACTTCTGTGATTTGTGCACCAAAGTACAGACCCTAATATCCCCCCCAGGAACCTTATCATATAAAGGGTGGAACCTATTTATTTGGAGCTGTCCATTCTTGTTCTACCTACGGGTAGAAAAAAAGGGGGGGGATAATTTTCAGTCTCTGACTTCACTTTAGACTATTACACTTGAATGAGTATTTCCTGGGCACCGACCCTGGCCCAGGGACTCGGGTATGAGTTGATGAAGCTGTCCCTAAAAGGAGTGTGTCTAAAGGACATAAGTGTATTCATGTTGATACAGGGGTGTTTATCATCGGAAGAGTGACCCTCAATGGCTCCCTGCTCTCCGAGGCTCCTGGGCCAGGAAAGGAGCTCAGATATTTGAAGTCTGGACCAGATCTTAGTTTCTTTCAAGGTAGAGCATCCCGTGAGATGACAGACCACGCTGCCACCGCCTATCTCCACTCAAATAAAGCCAATCCTCTTAGAAACCACTTTTGGGAATGAGGAGTTTGAGAACTCTTTCAGAACAAATTTTATTGCAAGGGAAGTGTGCCTGTTCTTGAACTAGAACAGTTGAGATTGATGAATATTGAGAGAACTTTTTTTTAAAGATTTTATTTATTTATTGGAGAGAGAATAAGAGAGAGAGAGCACATGAGAGGGGGGAGGGTCAGAGGGAGAAGCAGACCCCCCACTGAGCAAGGAGCCCGATATGGGACTTGATCCTGGGACTCCAGGATCATGACCCGAGCCGAAGGCAGTCGCTCAACCAACTGAGCCACCCAGGCGCCCCAAGAGAGAACTTTTTAAAAAATTATTATTTATTTGGGGTGCCTGGGTGGCTCAGTCGTTAAGCGTCTGCCTTCAGCTCAGGTCATGATCCCAGGGTCCTGGGATCGAGCCCCACGTCGGGCTCCCTGCTCCGCGGGAAGCCTGCTTCTCCCTTTCCCACTCCCCCTGCTTGTGTTCCCTCTCTCGCTGTGTCTCTCTCTGTCAAATAAATAAATAAAATCTTTAAAAAAAAAATTATTATTTATTTGACAGAGAGAGCACACGCACAAGCAGGGGGAGCAGGAGAGGGAGAAGCAGACTCCCCAGGAGCAGGGAAACTGATGCGGGGCTCGATCCCAGGACCCTAGGATCATGACCTGAGCTGAAGGCAGCCGCCTAACTGACTGAGCCCCCTGGGCGCCCCTAAGAGAGAACTTTTTTTTTTTGAGAACATTTTTTTAAGGATTTTGTTAGAGCCTACAGGAGCAGGGGGGAGGGGCAGAGGGAGAAGGAGAAGCAGACTCCCCGCTGAGCTCAATTCCCAGGACCCCAGGATCATGACCTGAGCCAAAGGCATACACTTAACTGACTGAACCACCCAGGCGCCCCAAGAGAGAACTTTTTAAACATGTTTTTCCTTTAAAGCAGAAATGCAAAATTGACTTAAGTACGGAGATCAGTTAACTTAGAGCAAACCCATTCTGAATTCTAACATCCGTAGGGGGGAAGAGGGGAAGACAGCTCACCATATTTTTCTCCCTTTTGTCTAGATCTTGAGAGTAGACTTGATAAGATCCTCTTTGTCAAAAGATCTTTTTGCTTGTGCTCTGTTCTTCCTTCCTGCAGAACAGCGTCTCTCGGCAAGGCTCCCCTCTTGGAAGCTGGCTTTCTGGACTTCACCTCCACTTTCCATTTGCAGCCCCCCACTCCTGGATGCTCCTGGATTCCAGGTAGGCACCTTCAGATGCAGCTCCATTCAGCTGGGGAGCTGGCTTGTCCCCCCGCCACCCCCCCCAGGGCCACTCTTCCTGGGCATGGTTCCAGGGCTGGAATGACAAAGGGCTGGGGCAGGTCCCAGGGAGCTGGAAACTAAGGTTAAGGAGTCTTGGGCCTGGAGAAGAGAGGAAGTCACCCCGGTCTCTGGGGCTGTGGACCGTTGGGGGAAGGAATTAGCCCATCATCTTTTTCCTCTTCCTCCCCTGTTGGCAGGCATTTCACTTTATGATCTAAAAAAAAAAAAAAGTGTTGCTATTTATTATCCAGTGTTTTCTTAAAGCACCCAAACAATCTACGTACAAAGGGAAAATGTTAAAGCTTTGTTAGGGAAATTGGTCAGATGTTCAACTTGTAACAAATGTCAAATTACCACATTGGCTCTTCGCCCCTCTGGCAGTGTACCTGGAATCTGGTTTCTGGTTTGGGATAGGGAGGAGGGTCTTAGTGCACGGTGGAGCTGAGGTGGAGACTGCAAACGCAGGTGCACATCTCAGGGTGGGGGATGCATTTGGCTTGGGATGTAGTGGGTGAGGGGGTCTGTGGAATGCACGCATGCATCCTGGAAAGAGCTATTGAGCATCAGCTTCGTGCTCAGTGCTGGGCCAGGCTTTGGGGACACAGCTGTGGACAGAGAAGCCAAAAGCCCAGGCGATGGAGTGAGTCCCTTGAAAGGGGCTGCGGATCCCAGCTCTGGAGGGGTGGGTGGGCAGAGGAGGGATGGGGACAGGGAGGTGGGGTGCTGATGGGGTGCAGTATGGTTCTAGCTAAGCTCTAACCGCATTGCTCTGGGTAGAGGAAGTGGGGAGAAGCAGTGGGATTCTGGGCTCCCCTGGAAGGTGGAGTCAACATGGCTGATCAACTGGATGTGGAGTTTGGAAGAAGGGGAATTGGGGTGAAGATTTTTTTTAGCTTGAGCAACAAGATTCGTGGAATGGCCCTGCATCGGCCCTGGAGGGCTGTAGTGGGCAGGTCTGGGGAAGGTCAGCCGTCTGACCTTGGACAAGTCAAGTTGGAAGAACCTGTTAGAGACCCCAGGGGAGGCCAGGCAGCAGGACGCAGAGGTGTGGAGCTGGGAGCTGGAAACCAGAGTCACCAGAGGCTGGGGGGGGGGGGGCGGTCTTGGGGCCAGGTGATGTGGGTACAGGGCACGTGCGTGTGTGCATGTGGGTGTGAGTGTGCAGCTGGGCAGATGCTGGGTGGGCTGTGCACTCAGGGTTAGAGCTTAACAGACAGGACCCGCTTGAAGGAGAGATCTGGTGGCTCTCAGGGCAGAGGTGGCGACTTCTAAGCTCTTCGTTAGGAAAATTTCAAACATGCAGCGTGAGGGGATGGGCTAACATTCTCCCAGCTTTGTGGCAAGAAGGCCTTTTCGGACCAAGCCCAGCACCCTCCCCTGGAATCCTGAACTTCTGTCCTGGAGCTGGGGAGCGGGGCAAGCAGGTGCAGCCTGGGCCGGCGGGGAGTGGGGAGGTTCTATGACTTACATCTTGGGTGCAATTAGTTCATGAGTTAGATCCCTGCCTCTCCAGGTGTAAATGTTTGTGGACAAGGGAGTAGGAAGAAGCCTGTGTGTGGATCCGCCCAGCAGGTCCTGGGGCCTCACAGGGTGGCCCATGGTGGGGTCTGGGCAACCTCGTGTTTATTGTATTTTGTTTAATAGTTGTTTATTTTATTTTATTTATTTATTTAACAGACACAGCGAGAGCAGGAACACAAGCAGGGGGAGTGGGAGAGGGAGAAGCAGGCTTCCCGCTGAGCAGGGAGCCCGATGCGGGGCTCGAACCCAGGACCCCGGGATCATGACCTGAGCCAAACGCAGACGCTTGATGACTGAGCCACCCAGGCGCCCCTAATAGTTGTTTTTTAACCACATGCATAAAATACCTTTTTATTAAAAAGTATATAAGAGGGGCACCTGGGTGGCTCAGTTAGTCAAATGTCTGACTCTTGATTTTGGCTCAGGTCATGATCTCAGGGTCGCGGGATCCCATGCTCTCTGGGAGTCTACTTCTCTCCCTCTCGCTCCCCCCAAATAAATAAATAAATCCTTTTTTAAAAAAAAGTATTTAAGGGGCATCTGGGTGGCTCAGATGGTTAAACATCTGCCTTCGGCTCAGGTCATGATCCCAGGGTCCTGGGATTGAGCCCTGCATTGGGCTCCCTGCTCGCGGGGAGCCTGCTTCTCCCTCTCCCTCTGCTGCTCCCGCTGCTCATGCACTCTCTCTCTCTCTCTCACAAATAAAGAAAAGAAAGAAATAATAAAATAAAAAAAGAAAGAAAAGAAACCTTTAACTTCTGCCAACCACCTGCTCTAGAAAATGTGGGATTGGCCCTGATCCTGGCCCATACGTCTGGCAGGGAAAGTGAGGAGAATATAGGGGTCAGATTCCTCTCCTTGTTATAATTTCACTTTTGGGCAACTTTTATCTGAACTTGGCCTAGAGAGAGTACTAAGAAACTCACAGGATGTATTCCTTTGGAGATCAAAATTAAGTTGGTTTGGCCATGTCACGGAGCATAGGAGCCGACCAAACAAGTTCCAGCCGAAAGTGGAACAAAATAATGTAGTATTTATTTATTAATATTTTATTTTTTAAACTACTCTCTACACCCAGCGTGGGGCTTGAACACACAACCCCGAGATCAAGAGTCTCACGCCCTACTGGCCGAGCCAGCCAGGAGCAGCCCCCCCTACAAATCATGTATTTATTATAACTCAAGTATAAAATAAATGTGAGTCCACCCTGATACAAGTGAATGATTGGCTAAATCAGTAAATAGGGAGAAAAGTCTCCCAGGCCGAGGGATTTCCAAACACGCTCCCTGTCCGGGGCGGTCAGCGTAAACCTCCCTCCTTGAGTGTGGGCAGCACCGCAAGACAACTTCCGAGGAGGAGTGGGTGGGCCGGGTGGGGAAAAGGTCACCTGTCAACCTTCACGGCGATCCCCTTGTGATGAGAAGGGCACATCCCCTGTGTGGGCGTGCTCCCCAAATCCATCGCCCTCGTGTGTTCATAAGAAAATCATCAGATGGGGCACCTGGGTGGCTCAGTTGGTTGGGCGACTGCCTTCGGCTCAGGTCGTGGTCCTGGAGTCCCGGGATCGAGTCCCGCATCGGGCTCCCTGCTGTCAGCAGGGAGTCTGCTTCTCCCTCTGACCCTCCCCCCTCATGCTCTCTCTCTCTATCTCATTCTCTCTCTCAAATGAATGAATAAAATCTTAAAAAAAAAAAAAATCATCAGACCAATCCCGATGGTCCTCGGGACCGTCAAGGTCAGCGAAAGCCAGGAAAGCCTGGGAAACTGTCATAGCCCGGAGGAGCCTGAGCAGACTTAGCAGCTATACGGAAGGTGGGGTCTTGGATGAGATCCTGGGGCAGAAAAAGGACACTTGGTGAAAACTAATGAAATCTGGGGCGCCTGGGTGGCTCAGATGGTTAAGCGTCTGCCTTCGGCTCAGGTCATGATCTCAGGGTCCTGGGATCGAGCCCCGCATCGGGCTCCCTGCTCCTTGGGAGCCTGCTTCTCCCTCTGCCTTTCTCTCTCGCTCTGTCTCTCATGAATTTAAAAAAAAACAACACTTTAAAAAAAAATTAAAAAAAAGAAAACTAATGAAATCTGAATGAAGTCAATACTGAAAAAAAAAGTTTTGGTTTTTGCTGGGAACCTTTCTAGCCTTTAAAATGCTAATGTGTATTGTGCTTTGGGGTCTGGTTTATACCCTTTCGTATTTCTCTGCCCTTTGCCGGGAACTGGTGTTCCATGGAGCCCAGTTTGGGAAAGCGGGGTTGACAGCAGCGGGGAGGTGGGCAATGTGTGTGACTGACGCTTCCCCTCAGGGCCTGGCGCGTTCCTTCCCACGAGGATTCTTGAGGAAAACAAGTGACATGAAAGTCCACGGAGGTAGGTTCACGGTCTCAAGCTCTGGGTGTTTTTGTTTTGTTTTTTTTAAGAGTGGATGGTCTCTCTCTCCTTTGGGTGCATATGTTTTTTTTGGGAGGGGGTGCATATTTTAAATTATTTTATTTTATTTATTTGACAGAGACACAGCGAGAGAGGGAACACAAGCAGGGGGAGTGGGAGAGGGAGAAGCAGGCCTCCCGCATAGCAGGGAGCCCGATGCGGGGCTGGATCCCAGGACCCTGGGACCATGACCTGAGCCGAAGGCAGATGCTTAACGATTGAGCCACCCAGGCGCCCCTGCGTGTTGCTTTTTTTTTTTTAAACCTCACACTTGGGGGGGGGGCGGGGAAGCTTCCTGTGTTTCTGTCCCCTTGAGGGAGTAAGTCAGTCCCCATCCTGGGCTCACATGTTTCATCTGTTAGAATAAAGGGGGAGGACATTTGAGCTGGGTGGGTGGGTTCCAGTCTGGAACTTTCAGGCTCAATGAATGTGTGACCTTTCCACTGAGCTCGTGTAAGACGGAGCTTCTGGGTGCACAGGGCTTTTCCCACACTGATGTAATGCTCGTGGGCTGGACTCCCACGCTGCCCGGGGTTAACGAAAACATTTTTTGAGAACCCCCTAGATTGGTCTAGGCGAGGTAGAACCCGCAGGACAATTCACCCCTGCGTAGCTCTGACTTGGACAAACGCATCCCGAGGGCTGGCCAGCTCCCAGAGACGCCCTCCCACCGCCACCTGCCCTGGGGGGCTGCCCTCCCCCACCCCAGCCACTTGTGCTTTGTCCCCGTGAACTTGATGTTTTTCAGTGAAGTGAAAAGTCCATCCTAACCCGCCCCCCAGCCATGGCGGGCCTGAGGCGCGGCCGACCCGCCTGCATCAGGGCAGCGTTCAGCTCCGCCAGCGCCTGGGCCGGCTTCGGGAAGAGGCAGAGAACCACACTCCATCGCTTCAAGGTGCTCCCCCCGGGCTGCCCCTTGCCCTCCTGGTGGCGCCAGGCTGGGGCGGGCAGGGCGGGGAGACCCTGTGAGTCCCAGACCAGGCATCCTGGCTCTTGGCCCGCACCCGTCCTGGGAAATAGTAGTCTCAGTGGTGGTTCTTGGCAAAATCTTTATGGGGCTTTCTTCCCGTCAAGTAGACATGTTCAAATTCCTGTCTTTTTTTTTTTTTTTTTAAAGATTTTATTTATTTATATGAGAGAGAGAGAGCACATGAGAGGGGGGAGGGTCAGAGGGAGAAGCAGACTCCCCGCCGAGCAGGGAGCCCGATGCGGGACTCGATCCCGGGACTCCAGGATCGTGACCTGAGCCGAAGGCAGTCGCTCAACCAACTGAGCTACCCAGGCGCCCTAAATTCCTGTCTTTTGATCAAGAAAAAAGATCTGCTTTCCCCCAGCAGCCTGGGATTAGTGGGGAGGGTTTCTAGAACATCTGATACCAGCCCTGGGTTCTTGGAGGGCCCCCTAGCAAGGCCTGGCCGTTATCTTGCCTCAGCCTCTGTAAAAGAAGGGGTTAGGATGGATGATCTAGGATCTCCCGTGATCTTCTGGCTTTGGGTTTAGAATGAGTGCAGGGTTCTCCATCCCTGATGTGAAGGGGATCACATCCAGCTGCTGAATCTGCCTCCTTGCCACATTCCTGGTTCTACTTTTCCTATTCATGGTGGCCAGGTTTGCATTTTAGTCCCTCAAACCGAGGAGGTGCTTCTTGCCCACCCCCAAGGGCTGCCAGCCTCTGAGGGTCCGGTGTGGCGGGAACTGCTAGAGTGGGTTCCCTCGGTCTCTGGCCCTTGGACACTGAGCGGCTATCTGCCTGCCTGCCTTTCTAGAAAGGATTATTCAGCCTTTTTTTTTAACTTCCCCAGGCCAATCACAAAAAGAACCACATGGACTTAATTGAAGGTATCTGGAGAGAGGTACGTGACAAAATGAGCCAGCCACCACTCTCCTCATTTAGGGGTGGTGGATTCGTCCCCGAATCCAAGTCCCCAGAACCAGCCAGGGGCCAATCTTGCAAGTCGGCCTTTCCAAGGAGAGTGGTTTGGGGCCCGCTGTCTATGCTCTTTTCTGCAGGGAAAGACTGGAGTTACTGTATTTTAGAAGAGGCTTCACTTTGATATTTAAATTGATTTTTCCTGGGCGCCTGGGTGGCTCAGTTGGTTAAGCGACTGCCTTCAGCTCAGGTCATGATCCCAGGGTCCTGGGATCGAGTCCCACATCGGGCTCCCTGCTCTGCGGGAAGCTTGCTTATCCCTCTCCCTCTCCCCCTGCTTGTGTTCCCTCTCTCGCTGTGTCTCTCTCTGTCAAATAAATAAAATCTTTAAAAAAAAAAAAAAATAAATTGATTTTTCCTTTTTCAAAAAACATTTTTTTAAAGATTTTATTTGGGGGAGAGAGAGAACACGTGCTGGGGGAGTGGGAGAGGGAGAAGCAGACCCCCCGCTGAGCAGGGAGCTCGATGTGGGACTCGATCCAGGGACTCCAGGATCATGACCTGAGCCGAAGGCAGTCGCTTAACCAAATGAGCCACCCAGGCGCCCCTCAGATTTTTTAAATAAGAAAAAGACTCAAAGTAGTTTGCCTGGAAAATTGACGAGACCGTAAGTTTGCAATTATTTAAACTCAAAATTAATTTATTATTTTTCAAAGAATCCATTTTATTTTTTAAAAAGACTTATTCATTTTTAGAGAGTGTGTGTGTGTGTGCACGCAAGCGGGTGGGGGGGCAGGGAGAGAGTCTCAAGCAGACTCCCTGCTGAGCACAGAGCTGGCACGAGGCTCGATCTCATGACCCTGAGATCATGATCTGAGCTGAAATCAAGAGTCAGATGCTCAACTAACTGAGCCTCCCAGGTGCCCCAAAAGATTTTATTATTTATTTATTTTTAAAAATAATTTATTTGGCAGAGAGACAGCGAGAGAGGGAACACAAGCAGGGGGAGTGGGAGAGGGGGAAGCAGACTCCCCGCGGAGCAGGGAGCCCGATGTGGGGTTCGACCCCAGGACCCTGGGACCATGACCTGAGCCAAAGGCAGATGCTTAACGACTGAGCCACCCAGGTGCCCCAAAAGATTTTAAGTCATCTCCACACCCAATGTGGGGCTTGAACTCCCGACCCCAAGATCAAGAGCCGTAGGCTCCCCACAGTGAGCTGGCCAGTGGCCCCTCAACATCAACCGCAATCCAAATTAAAAAATCAAGGAGCCGGGTGTAGTTAACACCTGGTCTCGCGGAGTTTTGAGCCTCCGGGTGAGGTTCTAATCCCAGCTCTTGTGGCCGGTGAATGCCTGTCCTGCCGGGCCTCTCTCGGTCCCCAGGGACGGACACTGTTGGCTTATTTGCAGGGTGAGCCCCTTGCCCTCCCCCACACGCACCCCAAGTGTGGGCCTCGAGGCCTCGTGGGGCTGCTGACCACTGTGCAGTCGGGTCACATGGCTGGCTCCGTGAAGTCCAATGATTCTGCCAGTTTCTGAATCTGAAATATTAGAGTTGCCTTCAGATTATGGTGTGAAACTATTTTTCATTTTTACCTTTTTGGGGGGGGGCATACGTAACCGTGTCGCCTGCCCACGGAAGAAATGAGCGCCCACGTGAGGTAACGCTGGGGTCCCTGCCCTGGCTCAGCCCTGGGCCCTTTCGGCCTGTGGCTCTATGAGGTGTGAAGCCCGGTCATCCCCGCCCGCTGGGGCCCCACATCCCCGGAGGCCGACCCGACAGGTTCCTGGTCTTCTCGGGGCCCTTAGCGTATCTGGGAGGAGGTCTGAAGCTGGGACTGGAAGTTGGCGGGGTGCAGCTCCCCACGGTTAGCACAGGAAGGGACAGCGGTCGGCTGTGGGGACTCAGACGTCCCTGGAGACCTTTGCTGCCAGAGCTGCTCGGTCAAGAGCACTGACGCAGGAAGGGGAAAAGCTGGAGTGAGAGCTAGGAAATTCGGGTACAAGGTGAGGGGCGAGGAGCCGTGGGACTCGAGGTCCAGAAAGCTCCACAGGCCCCTCGGCCAGTGGTCACAGAGGTAAGAGGCTGCCGTGGAGGATGGGCTGTACCACCCGCGCCTGGCGCTCAGACAAGGGGCACAGCCCATGGGCACCTTTGAAAACCGTGAACCCCGCACCTAAAGGCTCAGTTCAGCCTCTGCAGGCCGCTGGGGCAGCTGTGTGTGGGGCGCAGTGAGGGGCACGTTTGTGCACACCCGTTCAGGGAGGGGTGGGGCGAGCCAGGAGCCGGATGTTGGGAGGAAGTGAGTTCAGACTCCCCACTGGCGGGCCGGTGCCCAGCTCTGGGACGAGGGCTTTAAGTGATGGGACCCAGATTGGGCCCCCAGTGATGGCAGACTCTTGGGCTTTTTGGATGTGAGGGGGTATTTGTCTAATGCATTAGAGATTTATTTATTGGGGGGGTTAGGGTTAGGGAGGTTAGGGAAGGGAGAGGGAGACAAGCCGACTCTGCTCTGAGTGCGGAGCCCGTCGTGGGGCTCGATCCCACGGCCCTGAGATCACAACTGGAACCGAAACCAAGAGTGGGGCGCTCAGCTGACTGTGCCCCCCAGGCGCCGCCTGTCTAAGGCATTTGCAAGGCAGATCCGTGGAGTTTGCCAGCATCAGTGATGGAAGAAGTAATTTGCGCATGTGAGGAGTGTGTTGTACTTTATCCCGGTAGAAATTGCTAACTGGCTCAGAAACAGTTTTGCGCTCAGTTTTTAGATCCTTTCGATGGCGATTCAGAAGATCCCCCCGGTCGTCCGGCCTCCAGCTTCAGAGACTGTTCTCCGGGTGGCGTGAACGGTACCGTGCCTTCCCCTGCACTCAGGTGCGGGAGTCCGGGAGAAGTTAGCTTAGAAGACCCCCTCTCGTCAAAAGCCCCAGACCTCCTCCTGAAAGCTGCCAGCTGGGGCCCCACATCCCCGGAGGCCAACGACGTGGATATGCAGCCCGCCGAGGCCAGCAGCCCTGAGGCCCGAGGGCGGGCAGCCCGGCGCTCTGGGTCACCGGAGGACGGGAGGATGACGGAGGACGGGAGGATGACGGAGGACCGGTGGCCCAGGGCAGCCGGCCCCGTCGTCCCGGCCGCGGGGCCCCCGGAGCCTGGCAGACACGCGCAGGGCCGAGCCAGAGCGGCGCGGCCGCCACCCAGACTCGGGAGCGAGAAGGACAAGGGGCCCAAGCTCACCCTCTCCAAGAGGAAACTGGAACTTTTACTTGCAGAGCCTGAGAAAAACAAGAGAAAGAAGCAGTATGTGGCCTAGACCAAGGTGAGCAGTTAGCTCAGGAGGGGCGCTAACGCCCCGAGGGGAGCCCCTTGGCCAAAGCTGACGCTGATGGACTTGGTTCCATGAAACACTTGCCCTTTTCGGGTCTGAAACAGTGAACACCTGGCGGCCCACCAGCTTTGCTTAAAAATGGGTTTCCAACTGAGGAAAGGTCCTGTGTGGCTCTCATGGAGCCCACCTCCCCTGAATCCGAGAGCTTTTTTACTAAGTATTTAGTTTCCGTAGAGCTGGTGGTGTTTTTTTTTTAAACCTTGACTCCTGGTGCCCATTGTTGTCCACCCCACCTGAATGTTTGCTCTGGGGGTGGGAGTGGGGGTAGAGGGGTGGAGGGGGGAGCGGGAGGGGCGTGTCCGATTCTCGCGTGAATTGCTCTGTCCCCCGCCCCCGCACCTTGAGAAGCCACCCCGCACGACGTCCCTATTTCCATTCCTCCGTCCCGGTCCGTACAAGGTGAGGATTGTCTGAGCAGCTGGTGTGGCTGTTGGCAGGACCATGGTCTTGACGTGCTGACAGTTAAAAATAACGGGGTGGTGGTGGTGGTGCGCTTACCCTTCTCCCAGTTGCTGGGGCTTTGCTCACTGGGCCTTTTGTTCCCTAGCAGGCGTGAACTGAGCACGAGTCTGGCGCAGCGCTAGGTGCCCACCGCCCACTCGCCCCACGACCGCGCTGTTCCCAGGCCAATAAAGGGGAAGCCTGCCAGAGGACAAGAGCTGCTCCTTCCTCCCGGTGGGCGGGGCGCGGGGGCGGGGGGCGGAGGGGCGCGGGGGCGGGGGGGTGGGCCTGGGCGCAGGTGTTCTCTTCACGCCCCAGGGCCCCCTGGCCCGTCTGCGGGCTCTGCCCACTGAGGATGAGGAGGACTGCGGCCACTGTCCGGCCTGCCCCCCCAACAGGAGGGTGAATGGGTGGCCCCAGAGGTGGGGGTCCCTCAGGCCCACGGGCTGAGCTTCACTGGGGGCGAGGCTCCCTGGAGCCGGGCACTGATTCACGTGGGGCTTTAGGAGGCGGCAAGTAGGTGACTCGGGCGCGCCTGTGGGGGGACGTGGAAGCCCGGGACAGGGGAGCTTCCCTCCCAGACCTGGGGGGGCCTGCCCCCACCCCCCGGCAAGGTGTTGGGTGTCCAGTAGCTGCAGCGGCTTCTGCTCACTCCCCGCCCGTTCAGGAACCTGCTCTGCACTCTCTCCCCCCGACCCATGGCGCCCTTCCTCCTGTGCTCGGGACCCTCACCCATGCTTGGGCACGGGAGGTAGGCGGACAGAGGCCCACGGTGGCCTTGCTGTGGGGTCTCCTGCTCCTCCTTCCCAGGCCTGGTCCCAGCTCTCAGAGCCTACAGCCCCATTTAGGAATCTCGCTGCAGGAAAGCTAAGAATCCTTACTGGTTCTGAGAAAAACACTTAGATTCCTGATAGAACATTTCAGAACTGGGTGGGGAGGAGGCGGACTCTGGCTCCGAGGCCCTGGGCACGTTTGGAGCCTGGTGGTTGGGTGGGGAGCAGGGGTGGGAGCTTAAGCCCCCCCCTCAGCCCTGGATCATCACTGGCTGGGGGGGGGGGGGGGCGCAGCAGCAGGAAGAACGGGTTTTCACCTCCGGGTCTGTGCTAAGGCCGGGTCGGTGGCTGAGCAACCGTAGGCTGCCGCCACAAGGCAAAGACCAGACACCTGTTTCCCCAGGGAGGCCACACGCGTGTGAACAGCCGGCGGTCAGCAGCTGCCCCCCTGGGATGTGGGGGACACGGGACGGGCGGCCGCCAGGGCCAGGCCCTCCGCGCAAGGGCGCACGCGCCGCCCGGTCAGGGCCCGGGGCTCGTTTCCGTGGGGGAAGGGCCCCCGGGCCCAGAGTTTCGGCGCCGGGAGGGGAGCGGACGCAGAAGAGGCAGGAGGCCGGGTCGTGCTTAGTGTTTTATTCCCCGAACACGCCGCGCTAGGGCCGCTCCTGAGGCACCTCACGGAGTCCTTCCAGCTTCTGTCGCGGCCGGCAGCCTGCCTTCCGCTTCCTCCGACCGCACACCCACGACCCTCCTGTGACAAGTCCGCTTCTTCGCACCAGTTGAACGACGAAGAGACGTTAAACGGAGTTACGACTAGAGACGGGGGTCAGGGCAGTCGAGCCTCACTCCGTGCAGAGGACGGCGACGCCGCGCTCGTAGAAGCTGCGCGGGTCCTCCTTGGTGGCGATCTCGAAGTCGACCGTGAAGATGAGGTCTGCCCGGGTGAAGTTCAGGTAGACGGGCAAGGTCACCTAGAGGAGAGGACAGGCGCTCGCCGCTGGCTCAGGCACATGGCACCCGCCGGCCCCAGGCGGCGGAAGGGGCCACTTACCACGTTAGCCTTTCTCTCGGCGTTGGTCTGCTTGACCCAGCGCAGCTGCGTCAGAGGAAGGGCCGTGGAGATGGCGTGGGACAGCGACAGCTTGTTGTTACTGCACGTGGCCCCCTGAAGCTTCAGGCCTGCGGAGGAAGTCAGGGCCCGTCACCAGCGGTACCGGCCGTGTGACTCCGTGCCGCGGTCACGGCTCTGGCGTGCTGCCACCGTCACCTGCCCGGGAGCGACGCCGGAAGGGCCACCAGGGCCACCCGTGAGCTTCGGGGAGCAGCCCAGAGAGGCTGAGGACCTCAACTCACCCGTGACCCCAAAGCTGCAGGCATCGAGAGTGGCACTCTGGGAGGTGGTGACGTTGACTTCCAGGCAGAGCTCCTCCAGGGACCAGCTGTTGGCCTGGGCCACGTACTGCCTGGTGGCGGTGATGTACGCCTCGGGGACAAACAGGCCGCCCAGACACACGTGGATGTTCTGTGGAAGCAGCGACCCCCGGTGAGGAGCGAGCACCACCCCTTCTCTCGGGTCACGCTGGGGTCTGGGCTAGTCCCCTGGGCTCCCGGGTGCCGCCCCTCCCCCGCCCGGACAGCTGCGACCCCTCCCCCAGGCTCCCGAGGAGCGGCCTTCACCACCTTCAGCTCCTTAGCACCGCCGGACGCAGCCGCCTGGGAGATGTTCTGTAGCTGCTTGACCCTCTCGCTGAAGTCGGACACCCACTGGATGACGGTCATGCCCGCGGGCACGGTGTAGTGGGACCAGCTCCGAGGCAAGATGCCTGCAAGCAAGGTGACCCCAGGCAGCGTCAGGTCTGACCACTCCCAGGCGCACACGGGTCAGTGCTTGGCGGCTTCTCTGCTCCGCCCACCTCCCTCCCTGACCACACCTCGCAGGTCCCGGATGGGCCGCCACCAGCTCTGCATCTGCTCCGTCCAGCGTAACTGGGCGGCAGGGGGTGTGTGTGTGTGTCTGGAGGACCCCAATCACCCCCCAAGGAACGCCTCAGGGGCTAACTCTCCTCACACAACAGCTGTGCCTCACCCCAATTCAGCTCTCGGGGTGGATCGGAGACCCCTGGGGGCTCTCTGTTCCTAAACTCAAGCGCCCCACTTTTAAATGTGCTGCCCGCCCCCCAAAAAACTGTAAAGATTTAATGAATGTTCAGAGAATCGGCAAATAAAACCTCTCGGGCCCTTCTGAGCCTGACCCCCAGGGAAGGGCCCACGGCTGCTCTCAGGGGGACACGGGCGCAGAAGGGACGCGCTGACCCTGCAGAGCGGCGGCCACGTGCCCCCCGCGCAGTGAGGGGGCGACATGGGAGGGCCAGTACCTTTCACCAGCTCGTTTATAAGGGTGCGCAGGTAGTTGGTCTGTTTCTTCTTCCCTTCACACACTTGGACGACATCCGCCAGATCCTGGCGAACGTCCTGAAGTAACTTAGCTCCCATCTTCACTTCTCTCTCAAAGAACCTGAATAGAGGATCCTACGATTGTCCAAGAGACGAGAAAGCCCGAGTGAAGAGGAGGCTTTAGGAAGAGCCCCTCCTCCAGCGGGACCTCACAGCCCCGGCCCGAGGCTCACGGCTTCCCCCGCGCTCGCTCTGGGAACCCTGCCCGAAGAGCAGGAACAGCTGCCGCCGCTTCCTCGGGGACTCCCTCACCTCGCTCGTGCAGATGGACCCCCCGCGAGAGGCCCGCCCTCGTGCCGGAGCCTGGGCGCAGATGCCCGCCGGCTGAGACTACCCTGAGCCCGCCAGGACCGTGGGCACCCGGGGGCCGCCCTGCCCGCTCCCGGCCACCTTGATGTTCTCCACCGTCCGCTTGAGGTGGCTCAGCGTCTGCGGGATGAGGTGCAGCCAGTTGGACGCGGTGGTGTGCAGGGTCCGCATCCAGGCGGGGCGCCCGTCGGACGTGGAGTCGGTCCTCGCCTTCTTCTCGGTCTCGGCGTAGGCCAGGTCGTCCTCGTCCTCCAGCATCTGCATCTTCAGCATCTTGCTGATCATGTCCACGCCTGGACCGCAAGCCCACCAGAGGCGCGGGGAGGGGGACGGGCAGGAGGGCAGAGGAAAGAGAACGTGAGTATACAGGCCACGTAATGTGTCACCTGCACGGTTCCACGGGGGGACGTGTTTCTGAAGCACAAAAAACACCAGGCCAGAAAGTGAGGCGGCAAATACAGAGGAAGACTACGACCCGACGGAGGCGACTGGGCCTGGGCCAGCAGCCTGAGCGCAAAGACAAGAGGGAGGCTGCTCGAAGACCCCGCATTCACGCGTGGTCGTATTGGGCTGGGCTCTGGGGCAGGCCAGGCTCCCGCCAGGGAGGCCACTGCGCTGTTAACCCCCTGCGTCCTGGGCTGCCCACGCCCACCGCTCTGCCTCAAACACCGACCCCTGCCTTGTGCAAGCGTGACCTCATCCTGTCCCTCACCCGGTCCGGGAGTGCTGAAGTCAAGTCCCCGAGCAGCACTGGAGGCTGGACGGGAGAGGACGGGCCTGTGTAGGCTCAGATGTCAGGGCCTCCCGAGGGGAGCAGCCATCAGCCCAGGCCTTCAGGGATGCTCTAAGGGGGCAGGGGGTGTGACGTCTGGGGGCTCATCAGTATTGAGCGGCCCAATCCAGGCAGCTAGCTGCTATTAGAACAGAGCGAGGGACAAATCCTACACACCATTC